CACAGCGGTGGCACACAGTGAATCCCTCTCCCGCAGTACTCAGGACTGGCCATCTTTGGTCTCCAGAGCCAGGAGCGGAGAAGCCCTCTGGCTGGGCAGCAACAGTCATTTCCTGTTCACTACCCACCGGCTCTCATTTTAGCCAGGCCTCACAGCCTTCCTTCTCAGGTGGACTCTGGGCCTACCTGACAGATGAGGAGTCTGTGGTCACACAGATGGTGACAGTGTATGGCCTCAAGAAGCTGCTACCTCTGCCTCCATCGGTGCCAAGCTTGGCGCTGGCGCCAGATGTGAACCTGTAGTACTGATGGTGGGACTCCTTCCTCCCAGGGAGGCTCCTCTCCCCTCAGATCCTGGGTCATTAAGTCTCCAGGAGCCCGTTCACTGGCCTCACCTCCCGACCTTCCAGGCTATTGTCCCTGTGCTTCTGTACACTAACAGGAGTTCCTGGGGGGAAGGGGGAGAGAAACAGTTGCTAGAGGTGGGGCACTAGCTTGTTTTGGAGCTGAGATAACTGGCCAAGACCTGAACCTTGCTCATGCATCCCCATAGGGTCCTCCACACACAAACCTTTCCTACCCACAACCCATAGGAGAACTGCTATTGCCAATAGCCTACCAGGAAACCGATTTATATGGGAGCACACACATACCCAATGAGGAGAGAAACTAGGGTTCCACCCCAGATGAGCCTAAGGACCCCAAGGCCCCTGCTGACCTCCCTAGTACCTAGACCATAAGGAAGCCCCTCTCCCCTTGGACCACATGGGCCCCTTAGCTTGGACGTCAAGATGATCCCTTCCAACACCCCTAGTGGTTTCTCTCTCGTTCACCCACTCTCCCCTCTTAGTAGCTGTCCTTCCATGCTGATGATGCTCCCTCTGCCAGCAATACCTCCAGGCACCCTGGGGTTGTCTGGAAGCCCCCTCCCTGAACAGATACTGCCGTTCACTCCTGGGGTCCCCTCCAGCCTTGCTCACACCCAATCTACCAGAAATTCTCTTCTTCCTGAGGACAGGGTAGACCAGGGGTCTCTCATCAAGACTGAGACTACGCGTCTATCCAGGCAGACTAGAGACAGGGCAAAAGAATCAGTCCAATTACCCCTCCTCACTGCCCATGTCCCCACTCCCACCCTGACTACAGGAATCCACTGCCCCCCATCACCTGCCACTCCCTGGCTGTGTGACCACAGGCACGAACTTATCCTCTGTGTCCCCAGTGAAATAGATCAAGGGTCGGAGAGGAGCTATCTATTGGTCATCTGGCTCCTCAAGGCCTCTATTTCTCCATCTCTGAAATGGCACTAACTCCACCAGGGACGGCTAGGAGAGCCCCACCAGCCACTGTCTTGGCTAGCCTTTTGTTTGAGGCTCGCAGTAGGCCCTCAGCTGTTTCTCAACTAAGCAATCAGTGGTCCAGGTGGAAGGAATGCACACGCACACCCCCGACAGCCTCCACCCCTTCACAGAATCCCTCTCCCCACCCCCAGCCCGGGCAGACAAAAATAGTCATTAGGCAGATTTCAAAAGATGTCAGTAGCTTATAATTATAGCCGACAACCTTCTGAGATAAAAGTGATTACCTTGGATGCAAATCGCTTAGCAACCAATCAGGGCGGCGGGCGGCGCCCGCGGAGGTGACCGGCCGGCAGCGCAGCCCTCCACCCTCGGCCGCACCACCGCACAGGCGGCGAGAAAGCGCACAATAGCTCTTGACACGCAAATGGGTTAACACAATAAAGGCGCTCCGGCCGGTGCTGGGGGGAGAGCGGCAATTCCTGGCCCGCGGGAGGTAATAAAGCGGCCCTTTTGTGCGCGCCTCCTCGTTCTCACCCCCGCCCAGCCCCAAGGAATCGCTGCCTGATTGAATTACGGTTCATGAATACGAGCTGCTTGCCTGCTTCCTCTAACTGGGGAGGGTTGGTAAAGCAGAGTGGGCAGGAGGGAGGTTGGGGAGGGCGCCCTGGCCAGGCCTCAGAGCCCCCTGGCACTCAGATAGGAGCCACGTGTGCTCACCATGTGGGATCACCACGTGGGGGCCCCCTTGCTGAGGCGCTGGAAGGGTAGGGGGACCCCAGCCCAGAACCGGGTCTTCTGCTTTGGGCTCCAAGACACTGTGAGAGCTGGAGATTCTGCTCATAGCAGGTATAAACTGCATTTATGGAAGACTCTGTATGCTGTGGCCTATAGTGAGCCCTCACGGAATCCCTGCCACGCCCCTGGGAAGTGGGTGCTGCCTGTGCTCTTCACAGATGAGGACACCAAGCCTCGGCAATTCAAAGCCATGCAGCAGGGTCACTCAGTCAGGACAGTCCCAGACACAACCACGCCAGAGTACGGTTCTCTGCAATAAGATTCTCTGGGGAGCTTCAGGTTTCTTATCAAAAGCATCAGGCAACCAGGCAGGGCCTGCACCTAGCCCAGAACAGCTGAGAGGCTCCAAAGCTCAGGGCATTGGACAATGCGAGGAGGAACCCTTACGTGGAGGCTGCCTGGAGAATTTAAAAGGCTGTAAGGGTGCTGCTCCTTAGTACACCTGCGTTGTCACCTGACAACTCCAGGGCCACCCTGCCCCGTTCAACCCACAGACAGCTCTGACACTCCTCTGGTACAGCCTGGATTATCTATTGGCCCCTTTGAGTACTCATGTGCCATCTCCCTCAGCTGTGCCCCTCACCTGCTGCTGGGCCACAAGCTCCACCCACTAAAGTGCTGTTGCCATCTGTAACCCGGCCTTCCATCGGCAGAGCCTGCCAGGAGCTCTGGGTGGCTGAGGTCCCTGAGTGACCCATGGCCATCATACGCCCCTCTAAGCAAGCCCGGGGGGTGAAGCAGATGACACCGGAGCTGGCAGGTGGGTTTCATGCAATACAGTCTTCCTGTCAGGGCTACAGAAGGGCCCAGCGGGTGAGGGCACCAGGGTGAGGTCACCAGGCCTAAGAAGATGCCACTGTGCTCAACTGGTGGTATCTCACCCACGAACCCATCCGAGGGCAGGGTGTCGCCCTGCGGATCCTGAAGCCGGGGTCACTGAGGCCAAGCCACTGCAGCTGCCTGGCTGAGCACCTACAAAAAGACCATCAGTTCCTTGGCTCGAGCCTCTGGTTTCTTAGCCGCAAAATGGGTCACGGCACAAGCCACTCCAAGCAGCAGCTGAGATGCTGCGAAATGCCTGGCACTCGGGAAGACGCTGGGTAAACTGGCACTCCTCCCCCTGCTTGTCGTCTGGCGCTCACTGCCAAGCCCAGGGAGCCGAGGGAAAGGAACAGAAGGAGTTGCCCAACTCTGACAGCCTTTCCCTCCGCCTTGGCTGAGGGAGTGTAAATACTACACAGAGGGCCTCCAACCGCCTGTGTGTGTGTCTCTGGCGCGCACTACAAGTTTGTTTCTAAACTGGGAAGTGTCGAGAGGCCGTGCAAACAGCACTGTACCCACAGCCTCCCCTGCTCCCCCAATCTGCTGTTGCTGCGCTGTCCTCAGAAGCTTGTGTTTAAGGTAACTGCTTCCGCTGGAAATACCATCACCCTATCAAACCCCAAAGCGCCCGCCCCGGTATTTATTAACCTGTTACTAGAAGGTACTGGGAGGAGGATGGGAAAGGCTGTCAGTCCAGAGAGACCAGGCCTGGCTTCTTCCCCCTCACCTGCCCCTCACTGCGGGAGCAAAGACACCAGTTCTCCCGCCATTCCTAGGAATCTGACTGCAGCTGTTTCACCCACATCTGACCCTGGCAGTCTTAACTGGGACGGGCATAGACAAGGCAGCAGGACGTGACCTAGGAGTTCTCTGAGCTCCGACTGTACAGGGCTGCTGTGTGTGGGGAGAGGGGGCTCTTGCCTCCTCACCCATCCCCCTGGCCCTGGCAGAGATGGACGCATTCAGACCTTGGCTCCCACCGGCCCTGCATTTGCTTAATCAGCATCCATCACACTGCTTGTCAAAATCATCTTAAACACCGGAAGGAGAATGGCTTAGGCAGGAGTCCCAGCTGAGCCAAGGCCCCTCACCTTGGGGTTGAATAGCAGGGAGGAGGTTCCCTGGGCAGACACAGAGACCTGCAGACACACTGACCAGGAAGGTCGCAGCTCCTCTCTCTGGCTTGGAGCAGAACATCCCCATTTTCAAGAGAAACAGCCTGCTTTGGAGGCTGCTGAGCCTGCTTTTCTCTGGGGACCCTGGGAACTTCAGCTGCTGGCTGGGTACATGCTGGGGTTCTCCGGGGCCTTCTTTGAGTGGGAGGTTGCTCTTCTGGCGGTTATGGGCTCCCAGGGGACACAGGGCAGAGTCTGGAACACCTGTCCTTAGGGCCAGGAAGCATCAGCAGGGCCAGCTGGCACTGCCTCCCTCCCCCACCTGAAGTGTTGACTGCAGACTGAGGTCATAGGACTGCGGTGGACAGGACGAAAGGAGTTGGCCTTCACCTTCCACTGCTCGACGTGCAGCTCTGCTCATTCTGGCTCTGGCTCAAGGCTAGCTGCGTGTCACCACCATCTGACATCAGAGGTCAGGCAGTGATGTCACACGCAGCCCGCTGGGAACATGCTGTCTTTCTGAGTTATTTGTAACAACAGAGTCACAAATGTCTCGCCTCAGAGGACACGATCCCCAGACAGAAGTTTTGGGGCTCCCCATCTCTGGCTTTTCAAGATCTCAAAGGTTGCTTTGTAGCCCCTCCATGCTGGCCCACCCTGGACGTCCCCAATCAAGCCCTACAGAACTACAAGAGTTCAGGGTAGAGCCACTCACTACCTTAGTTAGCTCCATGGGTGGGGTGACCTTTCCTATGGCATGTCCCAAAGCCAGCAGAATACCCACCAGGAGTCCCCACCCTCCACTACAGCCAGTTCAAATAAGTTATGTGGGCAGGACAGGGCGAACAAGAAGCACTGCTGCCTCTGGGCGCTCAACAACCGAGGCTCCCTTGAGGACCAGTCCAGATTGCCCGACTGCCAGAGGCTGCCCCCAGCTCAAATCCAAATCCCCGTGCCCCTTAACTCACTGTGTGTTAGCCACGCAGGCGAAAGGTACCAAGTCTCAGAGGCCACGACGCTCCAATCTGCGGGTCGAGGCCATGCAGGAGTGCTAAAGATTGCCCGAGGAAGCCGATGCTTTTCTTCGGGTGGGAAGGGGAGTTGTCGGTGAGGGCGAACCCCACGCCCGAAAGCGCCTTCCAAAGTAGGGGAAGGGGGTTTCTCTGCTCAGCACCGGTCGCGTCCGCCCGGGACCCCAGCCGCTCGCGCGCTCAGGCGGCGCATCCTCGCCGGAGACCGTGCTCCATACGTCCGGCGGGAGGCGCTGCGCCTCCCTCCGGGGCCCGGCTCACCGCGGCAGCTCTGCCCGCGCCTCTCCCAGGGCGCCCTCTCCGTCCGCGCTGGGAGGCCGGCAGCCGCGGCCCCTCTCGCCAGCTCCAGCTGCAGCCTGTCTTTGTTGCTTCCTCTCGCTTGCCCGCCCGCCCTCTGCTTGCAGTTCCCGGGTTTGCCCGCGGGTGAAGAGTCCGTCTCCTCGGAGGATTGCACGCACCTGCAGCGGCTCCGGCTCCTCGCCTGGCGTGCACCGGCCCCCGCAGGTTGCAGAGAGCAGCGCCGAGAACGCACCGGCCCCTCCTCCTCCCCCCGCTTCGAGCCCCGGGTGTGGGGGGAGGGGAAGCCGGCGAACAGCGGCAGTGGCAGCCGCAGCGAACGGTAGAGGCTGGGATGCAGCCTCGCGGGCCTTGGCGCTGAGGACCAGCAAATCCAGCTGGCGCAGGGCAGACTCGAGGATGGAGAGCCGTGCACCCGGTGTGGGGCTCGAGCGCTGCTGCAGAGGCGGTACGGCGGTCTCTCCCGCACCCGCAGCCCCGGACGGCTCGCGGCGCTCCCGGGGCTCCTGGGGCCGTAGCCTCGCACCTCCCAGCACCCTCACCTAGCCTCGGGCCCGCCTGTCGGCCCGGCCTGGCCGGCGCGCGCAGCCTCTTCGCCGACCTGCCTGCCCGGCAGTGCTGCCCGCTGCTCCGCTCCGGCGCGACTGACAGGCGCGAGCGCCTGCTGCAGCCGCTGCGTCTCGCCCCCAGCCCGCCCCCCGCATCACTGCCCAATCAGCAGCAGCCGAGAGGCGGTTACCACGGTGACGCGGCGCCGCGTCCTCCGCGAGGCGGGGCCGGGGGCCGCCACGCGTGCTTTTCGCGGCAAAATTCAAAGGCCGGCAGGGCGGCTCTCCAACCTCTTTCCCCAAGCAGGGACGAGGAGGGGCCTGTTCCTGAAGGACTTCAACTCCCGGCATGCAGTGCGCCTAAACCCGGTGAAGGGGCACCGGCTGGGAGCGCAGAGCATGCTGGTAGTTGTAGTCCCTTTTTTGAGGAACTAGGGTTGGAAAAAGTGTTATTTATTGAATGTCTATTTGAGGGTAGGTAGTGTGATAAGTGTACAATCTGCATTATTTTTTTTTTACTCTTGGAGCCGACCTTATGAGGAGTGTGTTAAAGACAATAAAAAAATTGGAATGCACAAGGGTGCACAAGTGTGCAGGGCCCAGTGTCAATCCTTAGGACAACACACACACATACACAAACATACAACACACTAACACACCTAACAAAGTGCATATTATCCCTAATCTTCAAAGGTGTGAGATCAGCATTATGACATACATTTTACAGTTTGGTGCTTTTTCTCAGTTTACTGAAGAAACTAAGGTGACAAGATGTGCAGTGTCCTGAATGTTTCGTTCCACGGGTGTTTGGAGCTGCTGGTGGAGGTTTGGCATCAGTGCTGAGATCTGCGGAACACAAACTACATGCTTACATCTTTGTAAGCTACATCCCACAGAAGTATACCATGACCCCGGGAGGCAGACATCAGTATTCTCTCAATATGTCCTTCAGGCTGGTCTCAAATTCCTAACTTCAAACAATCCTCCTGCCTCAGCCTCCAGAGGGCTGGAACTGTGGGCACAAGTCACCATACCTGGTGAGGCACCACGTCAGATAGGGAAACTGAGGCACAGTGTCACCTAAGTCTAAGTAGCTGCTTCCGTTCTTATTTCCTGACAGTCCATTCTTCTTTACAAATGGGGACACTGGATCCTGGGAGAGAGAGTTTCCTCCATTGTGAGGTGTCTGTCACAAAACAAGTGGACATCCAACTTTGCAGGCAGAACCTCCATGTTCCTACAGAAACATAAAGCACTGGAGATACCCCTCCCCCAGTGTCCATCTCTGGCTTTATCTTAGTGATGTCTGGGGTCCCTCAGAACTTGCTTGCTGCTGACCTTGGCCATTTATCTTCAGGGCTCGGTGTCTGTTCCCTGTCTGTAAACTGAAAAGACAGGACATTTTATTCCCCTGTGCATCAGGCTGGCGTGCGGGCACACAATGGGTTACTGCCCAGAAAGAAGAACACAGGCATTCAACAAGCATTAGCAGTGGTCCTCCACTCTGGAGGGCTAGCAAGCGTATCCCAGATCCTGTGTGGATTCTAATCAGGCCTTAGCCTACTTTTAGGAGCCAACCAACCCCTTCCTAGAACCTGGGAGAAGCACTGGCAAGGGACCTCCAGGGCAGGCCCAAGTAGGCCACCCGTTTCTTATCTAGGGCAGAAGCTGGCCCCGTTTCCGGTCTCAGGGCAGCACGGTGAATGAGGTTCCCAGCAGATCCAGGTCTCCATACTTGTTCTACTTCTTAGTGGCTGCCTGGCCTTCTTCCCCTTCTCTCCTGCTCCCTGAGTGCTGGTGGGGGTGGAGATTTACCTGGAAACACAATCAGCTGCCAGCTGCTTCCCCTCTAGGCCAGCTGCCAGAGCAGTCCTGACGTTAAGGGTGAGTTGCCCAGGCAACTCGAGGGCTGGACCCAGGGCAAGGACAGGTGGGAAGACCAGATTCAAGCCGGGACAGGGTGGGAGACAATGACAGCCGAGGTCTAGAAGAGGAGAACTGGGGGGTGAAGGTGAACAGTGATGAAGGGGTGAAGCTACGTCAGAGATTCTGTCCGGGCAGGTCACCGTGACAGCCCCTTATCCTGGTGTGTGCTCCTCAGGTTACATGCCCCTTAGCCTTTGCAGCAAACCTGTATGGTGTGGGTAGAATTACCAGGCGAAGAGGGCCACAGGAGTCTCCCAAGGTCACCCAATGACAGAACTGGAAGCCAAACACCAGAGCCCTCCGCCTCTTTTCTGCACCCATTTCCTGCCAACCTCTCCCGGATGTGGGTCAGTAGTTTCCAAAGAACCTGGCGTGATTCCAGAACAGTGTAGTAGAGCCGCTGGGGTGAGATCTGAAGGGACCGCCTGCCTCTAATGGTCAGGAAGTTTGTGAGGAGCTAACAGTGGGCTTGGGGGGGGGGGCAGTGGGCTCAGTTAGTAGAGAGATAGCTTCCAAGCAATTGAAGGTCCTGCAAGATCTCAGCCTGGGGCTCTAGTGTGTCCCCCAAACAGACATTCACAGCAGACCACCTCGTTGAGGTCATAGTCCTGGCCTTTGCTCTAAGTGGTAGCCAATAATAACATGATGTGCTTGGAAGCCCTGTTAGAATTCCTTTGCTACAGTCCCCAGATCCCCAGGCAGGCCAGCCCTTGAACACTGGTTACTGGGGGACCAGAGTTTGGCCACTCCCTCAGCATTCCTGTAAGACCCTACACACCGATCTTGGAATTCTCTTCACGAGTGCCTCTTTCACCCCAGGGCCTTAGTACATGCTGTCCCTCTATCTAGAGGGTCTTCCCTCCCGGCAGCCAACTCTCGCTCTTCCTTAAGATTACAAGTAGTGGGCTTCCTCCTCCGGGAAGCCTTCTTGACTTCCACTTATCATGGGAGCAAGGTCTGCGGCCTTCATGATATGTCTAGTCTGATATTTGTCTGTTTGCCTGAGCTTGGCACTCCCCAGGGCTCCCTAGTACAGGTCTATAAACAGTTGGTACTCAACAAAGGTTTATTGAATTCATCTTCCAATTAATGAAAGAGGTAGCCCAGAATTTTTTCCTTTTTTTCTTTCAAATAGTTTTGCAATGTAGCCCAGTCGAGCCTTAAGGCAGATCTTCCGTTTTAGGCCTCCTGAGTGCTGGGATTGTACCTATGAGCCATCCCATCAAATTCTCTCTCTCTCTCTCTCTCTCTCTCTCTCTCTCTCTCTCTCTCTCTCTCTCTTTCTCTCTCTCCACCTCATTCTCTCTCTTTCAGACAAAGTCTCACTATTTAGCCAAGCAGGCCTGGAGCTCCCTTATTAGACCAGGCTGTCCTCGAACTCACAAAGATCTGCCTGTCTCTACCTCTAATTCTCCACCCTCCCCAACTGCTGGAACTAAAGGGGGCTCTGTTTTCTTATTTTGTAGAGGATGAACATGAAGAGGGGAGGGGAATGGAAGCAGACTGATAAGGGTGTACCTCCATGTGATTCAGTTCCTCTGTGCCTCAGTTTCTTCCCTCTGTGAAGCTAGATTCATGGTCCCACTTGGGAGGTTAGTCCTGCTCTTGGTATGGAAGCCTGGTTGTTCCATTTCCACTGCGAGTTCCCTATACATTCAGCGTGTTCTAACAGCTGTCCTGTGCCCGACCCTAGGAGCTGCAGTGACAGATGGAGACACGGACCCTGTGGAACGTAGGTTTCCTGTGGTCCTTGAGAAGGGAGCTAAGAGGGTTGGTGCAAGGTACCAGGGAAGGCACGCCTGGAGCAGGTGCTGCCCCAGCACGGTGCAGGTGGTGCAGGACGCACACTGCCGATCACTGATGGCCCACTGTGAGCAGTGGGCAGGAGCAGTAAATAGCCAGAGGGAAAGGTGAGAGGCCTCAACAGGGGACAAGGCCAGTGCAGAGACCCTGCCTGCTTGCTTTCCAGCTGGGGAGCTGAGCGAGTCCCAGTGGGTCAAAGGCTGAGCATGGACAGAGTCACCCTGGATTCTGGCAGGGGAGCAGGCGACCTCAGCCTCCCACCCCGCCCCCCCCCAGTCGCCTCACCTGCCCTGGTTGCTCTAATCTAGGCCACAGCCAGGAGGGAGCCGAGCCCCCATTGGTGCACACCATGTAGGTTTTTCAGAGATAATTTAATCAGAGCTATTAATAAGCAGAAAAGAAAGAGCTCTTTATGCTTCTCAGGGAGAAAAGGGGAGGGAGGGAGCCCTGGTAACCTTGTCGTTCGCCCGCCCCACCCCCCCCCAGTACCTGGAGCCCCTGCGGGGGAG